GAGAGACCGAGAAAAGAAAGGAAAAGAAAGAAAGGGAACGGAAAGGAAGAGGATAGACCAAAGTGTGGCTGTTTTAAGTCCTCTTTTTTCAATAATTGATTAAAATTAAACTGACTGTATACCCACGGGGCTTTATGTCTCTTAACTCCTGTCTCCATGAATGTAATCACTGTTACACAAGATCTATCCATAGGGAAACACAAAGCAAAAAAACAAAAAGCAAAAAAATATTTTTAAAATGCAATTGGGAAGCTAGAAACCTTTATACATTTTTTGCCAGTGTTTCCAGTGGTAAAAGACCCCTCTCATACAGCTGTGAGAAGCAGACTTCAGCTTTACCATTACAGTCTGTGAAGTCTTTCATATTAATCTGGAAACGACATAGGGGAAATATAGCATTTGAAAGACAGTAATACAGAGTTTACAACATATGAAAGTGAACTTACCTCCTGCCTGGACAGAGTCATAGGTAGCTTCTCCTCTGCCAGCTCTAGCTCCAACACAGGGTTGCTTGATGAGGAAGGCTTCTGTTCCTCTTCTTGATTCTGTAACTAATTGTAAGAAAAAAAATATGTAAACATGCAATAGAAAATTAGTATTGTAAAACATCCTAAATGAACTGGAAACTCAACAAAATGGTTAATTTAACATGCACACATGGCCAAGCACGAAAACCAGCTGGGTCACTTTACCCTTTTCTAAATGTTCCTATCCCCCTCCTTTCCATTTTCCAAATGCACATGCTTCATTGGCTAAACAATCCAGTCTGGTATTAGACACTCAAACAGATTGGCTTCTACACACCTAATCTAACTGTGTGGGTGCCCCACAACTAGGGTTGCACAGATACCAAGTACAGTACAAGTATGAGTACATGTACCGATACTTTTGAGCTCCAAGACTACACTAGACAAAATTTCAAAAGTTAGGAGGCAGCTGTCATTTGTAAGGAGCATATGGAGCTTCTGGTGCTTCCAGTTTTGCGAGTACGAGTACTGGTCCTTGCCGAGTACTTACAAGTACGAGTACTGATACATTTTTGTTTAATGTCATGTGATAGTTTTTCGAAAACAATACAGACTAATGATTTCGAACAGTGGTGGAGTGTCAGAGCCAGGTCCCAGCTGCAACCTCTGAAACCCTGGTAGTTCTCATGAAAAATGCCAAGTATTGGCACTGGTACTCGAAAAGTATCTGTGCATCCCTACCCACAACTATTATGATGGCACCCAGGTACAGATAGTAAGGAGCCAAACAAGCAGAAGTAGGATACTATAACTAGTACAGCAGCTCTATTGGACTGTATTTACATCATTCACAGAAGAAAACTACTTCAGGAACTTTCTTGTTTTAAAAGGCATCCCTTAAACTGCACACATAGTTACATAATTACATAGTTACATAGTATTTGAGGTTGAATAAAGACATTAGTCCATCAGTATTTTTTATATTAAAAAAAAGTCAATTTTTCCATCCAGGAACTATATAGCTTGCAATAAGGTAACATTTAAAACTGATGTGAATATATATTTACCAATTAGGTCTTGTATATAAGAGCATTATTTATGCACAAGTCCCACAGAAAGAAAAAAACCCAAGGTGGGAGGTTTGTTGCATGTAAGCTGGTTTCACATAAAATATAAACATTTTTCACTAAATGTTGGGGTTTAATAAGGAGTTGCGCTAATATTGTGCAACATAAAAATTTGCAACTACCACTATTTTATTCTATAGGGTCTTGGCATTCAGAAAATATATAATGTTTGGGGGTTTTAAGTCATTTTCAGGCCTAAAATGTGGAATATAACATGGGTGCAAAAAATTAAAAAAAGGCCTCAGTCATGAAGGGGTTAAAGAGAATCTGTTCTGATTGTAACAATGTAGACTGTTGTCTCAGTGGTAATGCAGGCACCCTAGAAAGCCTGCACATAGAAGCACCAAAGCCAGGAGGCTTTGCAATACAAATACGCTTTGGAATACATAGCGTATTAGTGCATAGCAGAACTTTAGCCAGTCCCTCCCCTCTATTGCTTCACATTAGATGGAAGGTATAGGGGAAAGCCAATGTGTGAATTTAGAATTTAAAAAACAGAGTTCCACATTCTCTGCCACTTCCTGGGTACTCTGGAAGGCATGCATGCAGTAACATTTTGCTCATTATAGGTACACTAACCTACATCCCTTACCTTTTAAAGTAACCAAAGAAAGATAAACATTTTCATAACAAAATGACACATTTAGTAGACTATTTAAGATAATAGGTGTATGTGATTGCTATATATTTTAATATGGTTTTATAGCTCCTTCTTTGCCATTAAAAAATATTTATTGCTCAACATCAATAAAATAATCACTATCAAACCTAAAATAAAATATGACAAGTGAAAGACTCAATTCTGAATCTGACAGGCTCATAAAGGCAATAGAGATTGAGCTTTTTCCAGAGCCTTTCATAAAGGAAGTTATTTCTTCCAAAAAAACAAAAAAGAGAACCTTACTTAGCTCCACAGGGGCACCGGTATGGAAGGTTTGCTAATTCAGAAGCATACCACTATTGACTTGAGGTTAAAAGTGTCCCAAAGCATACATGCATGATTATCCCCTTTTACAGACTACCACAGTCAAGGTTCCAGTACAAATTAGGGAAAAGAAGGTTGGTTGCTAAAGGCAACACAGACAAATTTATCAGATATGTTCAATCATGAGGTCCGCCGTGACTGAATATCAGCTCATAATCTGAGCAAAGAATGTATTATTTTAAGAGACAACAAAATAAATCTAGATTAATACTACTTTAAAGCTTGTACGTTCAGATAACAGTTAATAACTTTACATTGTCTTGGCTAAAAATGAGAAATGCAGTTCACTTGGAGGCACTGGATCTTAATAAGTGACCTAAGTACAATAGAAGAGAACGACAAGTGATTTGAAGTAGCAGAACCACAGATATTTGGAGTGGGGTTTGCAGTCATTTGGGACATGCACAGGGTTGGTGAACAGTGGATCCAGGACAGGTGTAATAGGACATACAGTGAACATACCATGATAGAATGGACCACATCCTATCATGGTATGATTTGTTAAAGTGTTGCATCACATTTGCCAAACATATATGTCATTTACATAGTACAGTGTAAACATACAAGTGTTTCTTGACTCATTCCCACCAGATGCATTGTCGTGTATTTTGCTGCATTTTCCAGTACAGTTAAAATGTAGACATACAAGAACCCGTTATTTTCAATATAGTGTGTTTAGACCAATGAGTTACATTTAAGTGTGCTATAAAAAATGAAATCCTTAATGCTGCATTTCAGCTGGGTTATCCAGTAGGTTTGCTATTCAAATGCACTGCAATACACATCTAGACAATAAACTTTAACACATGCATTCTGGTGTAAATGAGCCCTGAAGGAACCTGTAATGAAGCAAGATACCTGTGGAAGAAGCCCTAAATGGAAACTGTAAAGCTTTAACTTCCAGGTGAAATACTTGGATCTGGGACAGCGGTGTCCCTCTCTGTAAAGTTGAACCTCCGTACCAGTATATGTCTGACAAGTCAGAGAAAGGCAGCTTATACGTAAGATTTCTTATGCAACATATTGTTTAATAAAATTTTCTTTATAAAGAGGGCTTGCAAGAAAAGTAGATATCCTTATCTGATTAAGACCACTCTGTATTAACATCGAGAGGTACACTCTTACCTTGTATGCAACATCAGGAACATGTGCAACATTTTCTTACACCACTGGCCAGACTAAAAAAACTCAACTACTGATATTCAATGGTTCTGCTAGAGAGCCACTGTGTTTGCAGCATGTCGTCCCAGTAAGGGAAGGGCTCTCCATGTTACTCCAGAGAGGGTAATTTTTTTTTCTGCAATCCACCTTTAACTTGATAAGAAGTATACTATAATGTGAAAACTGGTCTACATTTGAGTTACATACAGTATGAAATTACTATAAACATACTGTGGCCTAGCTGTAAATGTCCACACATATAGAAATGTAATCCTTACTGCTATCACATTTGGATAATAGCCTCATGTATAAGTATGTAGATCAGGTACAGTAAAAACAAGTGGATAGTTATTTCCCGCAGAAAGATCAGAAAACAATGTACGGTGGCTGGAGACATGTTAAAAATACATCAAATAATCAGCAGGTCATTAACAAAGAATAAAATCTTCACTGGCAACGAAAGCCTTAACTGTCAGAAATGAACTTTTAGAGCGTGCTTACTAGGTGTGCATTACAACTATATAAAAAGATCCAGCGTCCAAGTAAATGAAAGCCAGACATATCAAGCCATTACATGCTCAGCATCTCAAGCCAAATGACAGCAGCTGACATTTCCAAAATGGTCTCCATAAAAATGCCATTTGGAAAATGTGCGTGGAGGTAAAACATGCACTCCCATTTCATCAGCATTCCTACCTTTTGTGCTGGCTTCTCAATTATAGGCTAACATTTGCGACAGATTAAACAAAGAGAGAGGGTTAGATAAATGTGACAGGAAAACCTGGTGAAAACGGGAGCTTTTGTTGTAGAAAGAAATCCGGTACCTTGTAGCCACATCTTTCAAAGTATGCTTCCTTTTCTTTTTCAGCAAGTTCACTACGCTTAAAGAACTTCTTATTTTCCTGAAACAAAAAAAAATGTAAGAGTTTAACATTTTTAAAATGTAAATCTAAACACTAGAAAACATCTATAATGGAGACCAAAGGGATTCAACCAAAGATTGTAACCCACAGATACTTACAGTATATACCAACTAACAGCAGAATCCAAAGGTTGTCTGATACATTATCTAATGTTTCCTAGATTTTGAATGTTCTGTGCTGCAGTTAAAAAGGCAAGTATTCTAATTGTCATTTCCCTTGAGTTAGACTTTAAGTTCAAAGTTGCCCCTTGCAGTGGGGCTGCCCAGCACTGCAAGGGTTAACTGCTTGTTTATGCCTAGAGGACAGGAAAAAACTGTTTCTTACCTAAACTTCGCTCCCACCGGCTCCCTCTGGGCCCAAAGCTTCTTCTCCCCTTCACTCTGGTGGTCTAAGAGCCACTAGCATCATTAAATACAATGCAGGATCCACAGCCCTACATTGTACATGAGGACACCGATGGGCAGGCCACAAGCTTGAGTGCAGGGGGAGAAAAGGACATAGTCGACTGCCAGATAAGTGGGGATTAGGCAAGTACAAAGCAAATTCCTGTCCCCACTGCCGGGAAAAACATTTAATATCCCTGGAGTTGAGCTTTAAAGCAGACCTTGCAGTTAAATGCAAGGTCTGCCTACACAAGGGGTGTCTAAACTCCGGCCCTCTACAAATCCCATGATGCATCTCTCTCCGGGAGTCATGTCTGTAGCTGTGAGAATCCTGCAATGCCTCATGGGATTTGTAGTTCCACCACAGCTGGAGGGGTGGAGTTTGGACACTCCTGGCCTACGCTCTCTGGGCTCCCTTCTCCCATTACAAATCAACTACTATTAGTAGGTGCAAAATGTAGATGTAATACCCATGTAGATGTATCATACCCATCCAACCACAGTAACTTCCTGTCCTAGAGTGACAAAACTTGCTTGCTGTACTGTACAAAATTAGAGTGGTCATCCTAGGCTGCTCATCCTTGATTTGGACTACAGAACCCCCTATCTTTATAACATAGGGGGGTCTGTAGTTCTCAAAGTCAACCAGGGCAAGGCTAATAAGCCTCTTGGGATTTCATTTCAACAGGGGCCCTTGTTGTCGTCTCACTACAGGAATTTATGAGCTCACTGGATTTCTGGCAGTGAAACTGATCTACCAAAATGCTGTCAATGTATATTCAACAGAGCAAAAGGGAGCAAATAGGGGAATTTCATTGTTAGAGTTAAAGTGACATTAAAGGTAATCCCCCTCCATGCTCGTGTAAGGACTTACCTTAAATGATGCCTCTTGATCCGATCAGCTTTTTCTTTCCTGTAGTTTTCAGGAGTCCCTCCAGCACTGGTGCCAGTCTCTGATCCAGTGCTGACTCCTCTCTCTTCCTGGCACTTCCTGTCCCACGGAGTCCGTGTGGGTGCACGCTGCCTCTATTGACTTACCTTGTGTCTCTCCTCATCTCCCGGCCAAAGATCTAAACTGTGCATGCGCCTGTCCCATAATCCTTTGCGGCCGCACGAGAATCTTTAGATCTTCGGATGGGAGTGCGCGGCAGAGACACAGGAAGGTTTTAACCCTTTTGTAAACTTTTTTGTGTGATGTTTTTGCATATATCTAGTGCTTGCTAGCAGTAGATATATATAAAAATACACAAGGTTTTAATAATCCTTTAAAGTGCAACTTAAAGGAGAACTAGTTTTGGTTTTAGTTGCACCTAATTCTAACAATGGAATTCTCTTATTTGATCCCTTTTGCTCTACTGAATAAACGATTGAAAGGAGTGTGGACAGGGACCAGAACACGTCAGGATTTTATTGCTGTCTGTGTCCCAGGTAGTGAAAGAAACTCCCAAATTGTGGATTGACACCAGAACAGGAATAGGAGGGAAATCTTCAAATGGGGACACTAGATCTGGTGACCCTGCTGACCCCCAGGGACTCCTCTCACTTCCTGTTGTGGCTATCAGACAGGAAGTTAAAGGGAATTCTTCCCAATGGGACACAGAGGACCAAAAAAAGCGGATGGGTTTATAACCCTCCCTTACTCTATCCAAAACTAAAAAAAGTTTTGGACTCAGTTGTACTTTAAAACCCAGGATAATACTAACCCCCCTCACCCTCTGTAAAGTGAACAATGTAATGGAAAAACCTAACTGCGCTTTTAACAGAGCAATCACGAGTCTTTCCTCTTCCTTTACTTATCATACAATAATTATATTTCAGAGGTGCAGGCAGGACATACTCCTCAGGAGGCACAGACGAGGATCACCCCAGCAGTGACACCGCCATATACTCACCCCCAACAGCTCCTTCTCCTCCAGCTGCTTCCTCTTCCTCGCTATCTCCGCTTTCAAAATGTCCATGGCTATCTGAAAACTGGATAAACCCACCGCCTACTATCGCACATTACCGTGTGCTTCGTGTTTACACCAGAAATGGATGTGCTGATTACCCATGATCCTCCGCGCGTCTACTTCCGGGTCTTGGAACCGCCGTGGAGCGCACGGATTTCCTGTTCCTTGTAACCGTTTCTATAGTTACTCCTTAACGCTTTACACGTTAGATTGTCTCACACCACAGGTCGTTCTTCTTCATCCAGCTAGCCTGTATGCCATGTTTTCTGTTTACCAGAAACACTGGAGCTCAGCTTTACCGACTTTACAGTTTCTATATATGTAAAGAATAGCAATGTCTCTGGTAAACAGAAAACATGTGATACAGGCTAGCTGGATGAAGAAGCATGACCTGTGATGTGAGGTCAAGCTGCTACCCTGGCTGGCAGACTTGCTGTGAAATAGGAAAATCAACACCTAATCATTTTTCAGCATTGTATATATGAGCAACCACAGCCACAACTTAATAAATGAACTCTATCTTAAATAGCTACAAAATAGAATCTGAAAAGGAGTAGCCATTAGGGATGAGGTTATGGTTTGGCACTGCCATGGGTTAGAGGCAAACCCTGTGTGTGAATCTAGTTCCCCTGACTTTGCCCAAGTTCACTCAGAACTGTGACTGCCACCCCCTCCTCCTGACGCAATCAGTGGCGGTAGTTGCAGGGGGGGGCGGATGTTCCCCACCCCTGTGTGAGATATAGCTGTGGGGCAGGGAATGCATTGATTCGCTGGGACCTGGAGGCTCGGAGCACACAGAATCTGGAGCCTATAGTGACCAATCAGCTTTTCTTTTCAGTTTCTTCATTTAAGCTTTGAAAATGAAAGAGAGAAGCTGATTGGCTGCCATAGGCAACTGCTCCAGATTCTGTCTGCTCCAGTGTTGATAAATTCCCCTCAAATGGTTTGTCTTTAACTATTTTTTTAATACATATCCTCTGTCTCCAGCAATATTCTTCCTCAAACAAGTATCTATTCCGTAGCAGCTAGATCGGAAGAAAAACTTGTCCCCAAATCAGCCCCATGCCCAGCTGCTCCCATTCCAGCTTGTGGAATAAGCCCCCTTCTGCAAATGTATGGCTTGTGTACACCACACTGGCTGGAACCCGGCCACCTCCATAGCAAGCATAGGCAGGGAGGCTACATAGTCTTCACACCATACTTTGTCAATTTGCTGGCTGCATATATACTGTCCAAATACTGTACAATGTTTGTGGCTATTATCTCTTAAATAATAGACCCTGGCATCCACTTAATAAAATACAGTCTACCGTTCCCTATTTACTGCATATAAATCTCTCGGGGAGAGTATGCTCAACAACAATGGCACTTCTCTTTTCTGATAGAGAAGGTACGAGAATGTTATCAACAAAGAACCTGATTGCAAGTGTTATGAGGGTGACTTTCACTGGGTCTAGCATGGTGAGTGGTGATTTGTTTTACTTTCTCTTAAGATCACATTTGTTTTCCTCCTTTATCCCTGATATCGTAACCTCTGGGCTAGCAAAGCAGGGGAGGAGGCAATTTGCTTTCCCTGCATCTTATTAAACTGGTTGCTGGTATTCAATTCACTTATTTTATTTTAACTTGTGGCTTTTATCTATTTAATAAACATGCACATCTAACGTTTATTTCAAGATGAAACGTGCCTTGTGTCTCCCTCTTATATTGCAGCCTTACCAAGCTGCTTACATACTGTCCAGCCACTGTAAAATATTTATGCTATTGTCTCTCAGATAATACACTAATGTATTTTTCAAGATAAAGTTTGCTTGGTCTTTTCCTCTTACCTTCTGGCCTTACCAAGCTGCTTACATACATAAATATGTGATGCCGGAATACAGTGTCACTGACGCTGTCCATGAAAACACCACATACAACATAAAGGCATCTCCCAAACATTGAATTTCAAGAATTGGTGTTTTCTAAATGCCTCCTTCAAAGTCAATTTAAAACAGGGGTGGGCAAACTCCGGCCCTCCAGCTGTTGTGGAACTACAAATCCCATGTTAGGGCCACGGAAAAGGACGTATAGGAGTAGTGGCCCCATGGGATTGTCGCACTTCCAAAACAATAATAAGTATTAAATAAGTTGATTTAATCATAAGCATTGGTTTTATATAAAAGGTCAATTAATTAAAAAAAAAAATGTAAATATGTATATATGGGTTAAGAGCAACGATTGAAGGTATTTGTTTTGATTATAGGGCGTACAATCCCATGAGGTATTGCAAGATTCTCACAACTACAGGCATAACTCCCAAAGACAGATGCCTTATGGGATTTGTAGTTTCATCGCAGCTGGAGGTCTGGAGTTTGCCCACCCCTGCTTTAAAAGGACCCTCTCTCTGAAATATTATATTTTTTAAAATAGTTTTTTGCTTTTTTAAATGTCCCCTATGGCAGAGTCCAGCTTCCAATACCTTTCCCATTAGCCTTTAAAATAACCAGAACTGAGTATTAAGATTGGCCCCCATAGACATTAATAGGCTTCAATGTTAAGTTCGGGATTTGATGACTTCATGCAGGATTGTGCAAATGTTCAGCGAATCAAATTCAAGCAGATTCTCTAACCCTTAGTAGCCATCCATTGTATTCATTTTCTTTTGTTTCTCCCACTCATGGCAGGCACATTCCCTGCCACTGTGTGACATGTAGCTGCACAGGGCAGAGAATGTCCAGGCCGCAACTGATTGGGCAAGGAAAGAGGACGTGTCAGTGACAGTTGTATGTAAGCTTGGGGTAACTCAGCTCAAACCAAGGCCCCGAACCTCACTAGTCTGCCACTTCGGCAGAGGGACTCGTAGTTCTCAATGGGCTACAAGTACAGTGACGTCAGCGCACTTGTAGTCCATTCATACTTCCTCCTGTCCATGTAACTGAAAGTCTGTACTTTAGTATGAAGAAGGACTGTGAGGAAGAGTCTGCAGCCGCCACTGATCACAGTTGCAACGGTTTGCAAGCTCCAATGCAAAAACCATGTCCTTGCATTAATCACACGGTTCTGTGCAATTAACACACAGTACCGCACGATGCATGGGAGGTGCGTTGCGTGCCATTCGTTTGAATTGTTCCCCAAAGGTACCCCCTGCCTGCAGTGCGAATGGTCGTGCTGCAACACACAGTAGTGCAAATACCGCGGGTTGAGGTGCAATTGAAAAAATAGTGAATGGCACACAATGCACCTCCCGCACTGTAATCGCACAGGAGGTGCATTGTGCTGTACCACGCATTAATCGCATGGAACTGTGCGATTAACACACGGACATAGTGTGAACGGGCCCCTGAAACGTCCGTCCGTTTTTTTACTACGGGCGGACGGCAAGAGGTTAAACGTTCAAACCTTTATCAATATTGAATCCAGATCAAACAAATATATATTTCCCTGCAAAGCTTTTTTTTATATTTTCACCTAAGCACTCACAGTCTACATGTTTCTAAACAGCTCCAACTCTCTCAGCCCAGCTTCCCTAAACTGTCCAATACAAGATCACAAGGGACAGAGCAGACTCCAGCAACTGTTCATCTACTAGCTTGGAGAAGGGAGGCGGGAGAAAGAAAAAGGAAGGAGTGAGGAGCAGGGGAGTGGCTCTGACCTACTGCATCTGTGTATTTGTGGAACAAACGTAGAAATACCTTGCCGCACTCCTTGCTGAGCCTGACGAAGGGGACCCTGCGTGGCCCCGAAAGCGCTAGATGTGGTGACATAATGTTCCAATAAACGAACACTTTGAACTTCAACACTATTGGTGTGCTGGTGACATCCGCTTTTATTTGGGGAGACACACAGAGCTTACTAGAACAAGGGTGGCTCCATAGGACCCTGCAAATGAAGGGAAGAAGCTACCCTAAAACAGGTATCAGGACCAGTGCGGCAGGAAGCTAAAACTTTTAAAAATCAAGAAGCAGCATCCATTGTAAGTGATTTTATCAGCATTAGAAATAGCTTAAACACCTGTTTATTTTAATACCACTATAAGTCACATTTCCTGCCACCCAGGTCTTATAATGGTGAAGTCCACAATCATCAAGTGTCTCCCAGACACTGTCTGCTGGCGATTGTCACCCACAGAGCTGTGACCAGGATCATTCATGGCGCATGTGACAACTCCCACAGTGTCTGCAGCATCTGTACTGGCCGCCTATGGGCCGATCTCTCCCCTCCTTCCAGCCAACACACGGCTCTGACGACATCACGTTCCTGCAGTACTACACTGTGCCAGCAGGTGGCAGCTTCAGCCTCCGTCACTAAGTCATTCTCTCCCTTGTTTATCATTGACCCTAAAAGAAAAAAAAAGGAAAAAGCAAAACAGAGAGAGAGAGAGAGAGAGAGAGGGAGAGAGATAGAGAAAGAGAGAGAGGGCCCTGTCTGTGGCTCTCAGTCCTCAGGGGAACCTCGTATGTATTATTTCCAGGACCTCAGGGTGCTGTGGGGAAATCTTCAGGGAACTCCCAGGGATTATCATCTGATCCATCAACATTATTCCTCTGCACATTTCCATTGGAAGCAGGAAAAAAACTTTGCCATCTGCCACCAGTTGGAAGGGAGAGCTCCCAGTGCTGGCGGACCTGTGCAGTCACTCTGGGGCTTCAATTGTAATTCTTTTCCATTTCTTCCTCCCTCCCCTTCCTCTTCACTGTGTTAATCTGCCTGATCTTTATTCTACCCCCCTTCTTCCCCCCTCTGCTCCTTCTTCTTATCGTACAGCAACAATAGGCACTGCTATTAAACTGCTCCACCATGGAGTTCTCTGAAAGGAAAAGGAGCAGGAAATCCCAGAGCTACAAGCTGGTGAAGCCAGGTAAGGAAGGGGATGATGGTGCTGGGTGACAGTGACACCTGTCAGGAAAGTGACAGCTGGGGGCACAGTTGACAGCAGGCTGCCTGTGTTTACAATCATGTCACCTGACAGGTTATCAGATAAGGATGATAGGGCACAGACTGATTGTATGAGAGTGTCATCTCCTCTAGTGACAGTTTGTTTTGCTGTCCGCAGGGAGACACAATGACAGACAAGCTGATGAATTAATAGGGCTGCAGAGGACAAAAGCTGGAAGGAGCCCACACAGAACCAGGCGCAGGCTTCATGCCAGATCATGGCACATTTACTCATTACTGTCATTTTATATCATATGAATTGTATACAAAGCCCTTTCCCCTCTGGGATGGGGGTGCATGCTTCTTTTTTCTTGTATTATATTAAGATTAAGTGTTAGGTTTTTGTTTTTTTCTTAAGCCCCGTATGCGTTTACAAAGCACTGGGTCTTGATCACAATTATTGACGGTGAGCAGACTATCATCAGAGGTTGTAATGTGTAAAAGAAAGGCCGTGACCATGCAAGGAAGGCTGTGCAGTGTGTTTGCTGGCTGCCTTTGACAGCTCCTGAGACCTTGTTAAGTGGCAAAGTGTTCTGCCTGCAGAGTTCAAGGCAGGTGACGGTGTCTGTCTCAGCAGTCCCTGGCTAGGACTACACATAGCATGCTGTTTTATGTCTTTTATATCCAAATATTCGGTTTGTGGGCAACAACACATTTTTATAGTTTGCACCTTGATGAACTTTGGAACCAGCCCGAATTCCCTATTTAATACACGGTTAATATATGTAAGAGTATTCTCATCCATACTCATGACCAATGATGAGAAATGTAACCCATGACACCTTTACAGCTGTTCTGCATTTCTGCTATCCAAGCCAACTTGTTTCATAGCGTCATAAAATTCTGCTTCCGCGTATTTGCACTTTTATTTACACTTCTCATTGCTGGCCAATGATATGCACTGATCTATTTAGCTGGGTATAGATTATTTTAACATAGGTGGCTTTGGTCTTTGATGAGAAAACAGAAGTAGTAAGTGGCATGGAAAGCCAGTCGGGAGGGAGGTAGGCTTACTCATTATGAATATTTTACTTGTAGGTTTGTCATTGACTTGAGGAATGTACGGGAGAGCTCAGTCACATGTATGAGTGTGCTGAAGTGCGGCCTTTTCTTGTATAGTTTGTCTAAGGTCAGGAGTTGTCAAGGTATAGGGGGGCTCAATTGCAGCCCCTGATGTCACCAAAGGGCTACATATAATGTTTATAATACATAATGTTACAGGGGACTGTCATAGACTGAAGACTTACTAGAGGAAATGGTCAGAGACGGTTCTACAGGAGTGGTTGGAGACTGAAGACATGCCGTTGGAGACAGTCAGAGACTGGAGACATTTTACATGAAACTGTTAGAATTTCCAAAGGGCCACATTTAATATTTGTTATGTGCAATGATACAGAAGATTGTTATAGGCCTAAGACTTACTAGAGGAAATGGTCAGAGATTGTGCTACAGGAGTGGTTGGAGACTGAAATCCTTATTCATGTCATCTGAAATGTTAAGGTTATTTTAAAGGGATGTTTTACTAAAGGTAGTAGGTGTCAAAGGGAAGATATGCTCTTAATTTCTCTTTAAGAAGTTAAATTTTAAAAATACGTTCAAATACATGAACTAATAATAAAAATGTATCTTATGTGTGTATCACTGTACACACTGTAGATCCTCAAATCATCTCTGAATTGGTGCCGACACTGTCCTTCCTTCCTTCCTTCTGGAGAGTGGCTACTTTTGTTCACCATTGTCCCTGTGCGAGTTGTAAAGTAGCCACTGCTCCAAGCTAACTCCTGTGATGGAATACAATCTCAATACAAATTGGTAAACTAAACGTGAGATTGTAGTTCATCACAGGAGTGAGTGTCTACTTTATAAAACAAATAGGCAAACATTTTTAAACCTTACAGAGTGGCTTTTCCCACGCCGCAAAGGTTAAAGTAGAACTATGGGGTTAGTGTTTTTCCCCGTAGTTCTCCTAAGGGTCACTTGCGTCCTCCCGTGACCCAAAGCTCATCTGTCATCTCTGAGCCTGACGAAGGGGACCCTGTGTGGCCCCGAAAGTGCTTGCTAATGAGAGTCAGCATCTGTCAATAAATGAGCATCTAATTGCTGTTATTATGATTGTTGGAGTGCTGGTGACGTCTTCCTTTTTGTCTACTTGTGGCAGCGCCATCCGCAGTCATTTTGAGCACCCGTCTTTTTTTGGGAGTCCCGGTAAGGAGTGCGGCAAGTTTTCTTTTTTCTTACCAAAGCTCAGTATATCTCGAGCTACAGCTCGCGGTATACCGAGACTGCCACAGCCGGGATGGATCCCGACATTACTGTCGAGATCCACCCAGCTGCGTGATTGACAGCTGGCTCTGCCTATCTAGAGGCAGAGCCAGCTGTACCCGCCCCCTCCCCCGTCCGTTCCACCAGTCAGCGCTGGAGGATCGGAGCGGGGAGGGGGGGAATCCCTGCAGGGAGCCATGAGTGACAGTCACGGCTCTCTGCGGGGACATGATCGAGAAGTGAGCGAGCGATGGTATGTGTTCGCTCACTACCCGATCTGCTGAGCCGACGTGTTTCATTGTCACACGTCGGCTCGAACTATGAGGTTGAGTGAAAATCACTCACCTCATAGTTCTCCTTTAAGTGGTCATTTTGGTCTAGGTGCATAAAAAAGTTATAGCGGTACTAATCCAAACTTAGGAGCTGGCTGGCTCCTACAGCGCTGGCTTCAGCCTCTCTCCTCCTCCACTGCAGTGATGGTACAGGTATGTTCCTCTGTATATACACTGTATATAGAATGTGATGAGTCAGGGACCCTAGATTGCTGCAGCAGAGGAGGAGAGAGGCTGGAGGGACCTGTCTAAGAGCAAGTCAGCTCAGAGAAACAGGTGAGTATAACTTTTTTATTTTTGTACCTAGACCAAAACAAGCACTGAACCCTTGCTGTATGGGGGTAGCCCCACTGCAAGGCTTAAGAAAACATTTCCTTGGAGTTCTTCTTTAAATGAAGCTTGACCCAGCTTAAACATTTATAAACAATTACAACTTCATAAGTACACTTGTTAGTCCAAATCAGTCCCTGTGTCCCAGTGGAGTCCCCTTTGCTTCTCGGCCCAAAGTGTACATACAGTAGGGCCCATGATAGATTAGGCTAACCCCCTCCCACCCCCCGTCATTCAACTCTCAAATGCCAGAGCTTCAGTGGACAATAGAGGTTCTGGCATTTGAGATTTGTAAGGTTGCCTTTATCCTATAATAGTTTTTCATCTTGCTGCAGGAAATAATCTGTATACTTGAACACTATTTACGCTGCTTCTTTAAATATTAGAAACATGAGTTGACTGTGTTTTGTTATAATAAACAAATGAGTCAAGTAGGTTGGGGAATATTTTCTGAAGCCAGTCATAGGGTATTAAAGTATTCACATCAGGTGGTAAGCACAGAATGCAGAACCTACAGCCAAGGAACTTAAATGGGTCACACCATAGTGCAGGGATGGGCAACTCTGGACCTCCAGCTGTGCTTTAACTACAAATCCCATAATCCCCCTGCCTCTGGAAGCCATGCCTGTGGCTGTCTTGTGATGCCTCATACGACTTGTAGTTCAACAACAACTGGAGGGCCGGAGTTGGCCACCCCTGCTCTAGTGAGATCTTCTGTAGATTTAATTTTTTAGAACAGAAAAAAATACCAGTAACTATATTGTGTGAGGGCCAACATGACTGTATGTGCATTAAATTGATTTCTAGATTGGCCTTTGGTATATTTTACTGCTCTAATAGATCTGATATAAGGATAAACTGATGTGTGACCAGTTTTAGGCTATACTGATATTAGCAGCTAAGATATACAGTATATATATATATATATATATGATTTTAGGGCATTTTTTTACAATTATGAAGAAATGTAACTCAATCCATGATTATTAAGCAATGGAGAATGGCAACCAGCAATAGCAGGGCGTTTGGGTCTCACCAGGGCTGCGTTCGCATCTCACCAGGGCTGTGTTTGGGTGTCCCAAGGTCTGCGTTTTGTTGTCACCAGGGCTGCGTTTAGGTGTCCCAAGGGCTGCGTTTGGGTGTCACCAGGGCTGCGTTTGGGTGTCACCAGGGCTTCATGCAGGTCTCACCAAGGCTGCATTTTGGTCTCACCAGGGCTGCGTTTGGGTCTCTTCAGGGCTGCAAGTGGGGCTCTCCAGGGCTGAATGGGTGGGTGTCAGGCGCTGGGCTCTCCAGGGCTGTAAGGGCGAGTGTGGGCCTGTCCAGGGCTGTGCCAGTCTCGGGAAGGAGGATGAGGAAATGTGGAACTGGACTAGCACTGTCAATATAAACAGTATACACATATATAATTATCTATTTATTTATTTTTAATAATATCATTTTACACTTTAGCATACCCTTGTCCATACTTTGGCTTGGTTAATTCCTGTTAACACCTGGGCATTTTGATGCTCAAAGCTAAGCGCAACAAAACTCTCAACACAAGAAATCCCATTCATTATTATGGTCCCTATTCACACCTGAGAGTTTTGTCGCAAGCTGTTAAACACAGAGCGCTGAAAGGGTACTGGAGCGTCTTTCGGGCAGAATGGAAGAGCAAAAAAACACGTGACACAATCGCTTTGTACATTTCTGTGCGCGTTTTGCGCACGTTTGCTCATTCATCACAGTGCATTTCAATTTGCTCAATAAAACGTGAGTCTTTGTATATGCGTGTGTAACGTGCAGAAAAATGTGCAAACCGGCGCTAAACATACTAGATAGTAGGCTTCAAAAAAAGCATAAGAAAACTTGCACTATATGCGTGAAAAAGCTGACGCCTAGGTGTGAACAGAGACTTACTCATGTGTGTCACCTTCCTTAACTGTATAATAATGATAATAATAACAGCATTAATAATAATAATCGTTTTAGTGATGTTTGTTTACTTAAAGGAGAA